AATTATAAAGATGTCAAATCTCAAGATGTCAAATTAACCTAGAAAGTAAATGTATCTCCAATCTAAATCAAATTAGAATGTTCCATTGAATCTGACAAGCTGATTCTAAAGTTCATTCAAAAAAATCAGGAAAACTTGAAAAACAAAACAAAGACTGGCTCTACAAATTAAAAGATATACAGATTTAGATACAAAATTAAGTTAAAATAAAGTGTGGTACAACCCTAGTGATAGATTAACAGAGCAATGGCACAAAATAAAGACTCCAGAAATAGACTAAAATAGAAATCAATAGGTGACATTTCAAATCAGGGAAGAAAGGATGAAGGATTTAATGAATGACCTTGGACAATAAGCCATACATTTGGAAAACAACAACAAATCTAAAATTGTACACATATTTCACATTATACACAAAAATTAATTCTAAATAGATTAAAAAGCTAACTCTGAAACAACAAAATTATAAAGGTTTTAGTAAACATTTGCTGCTTTTACTTGCCTGAATCTGTTCTCCCTTCTTCTGATAACAGTATGTTAATTTCTCTTTGGGAAATATCTTTTCCTTTATCCAGTGGTGGCATAGTGGTTAAAGCATTCAACTGTTAACCAAAAGGTTGGCATGTTTGTGGAGTGGAAAGCCACTCCATAGTAGAAAGATGAGGCAGTTTGCTTCCGTAAAGATTTACAGCCTTGGAAACCTTATGGGGCAGTTCTACTCTATCCTAAAGAGGTGCTGAGTCAGAATTGACTAGATGGCAGTGGGTTTGGTGAACTCAGTAGACCCCACTTTCCTCTAACCAAAGGAGGTGGTGTCACATAATCCAAATACGGACAAGGAGACTCTTTCTCCTGCAATTTTTATCTTGAAGGAACGACAAAAAAATGAAAATAGTCTCCCAAGATTTCCCCAGATCCCTGAACAAGCTCTGTTTACTGACCATTTCCAAAGCTAGAATTTTCCCTTTCAGTCAATGAGATACCACATCATGCTCTTCTTTTTGTGTGTAGGTTAGTTTTAGCCAGTGTAAATTTTTGTTGTTCATAATTAAAAGAATCTTAATAGACATAGACCTTAACAGACCAGAATTTGGTATAAAAAAAACCAAAGTCACTGCCATCAAGTCACATCTGACTTATAGCAACCCCTCCTTGGGTTTCTAAGGTGGTTTTACCATGAAAGTAGATTGCCCAGTCTTCCTTCTGAGGAGTGGCTGGTGGGTTCGAACCACCTGCCTTCTGGTTAACAGTCAAATGCCTTAGGCACTACGCCACCAGAGCGCCCAACAATTTGGTATGGAAGAATATTTTTTAAAAAATTAAAAGAAGTCAATACTACAAATTATACAGTAAACAAAGTAAAAAGACAAACATAAGAAAATATAAGCAACATATGTAAACTAAGTATAAAGTCATATTACATTGAAACTCCTATAAATCAACAAAAAAATAAATAATCCACTAGAAAATTGAGCAGTATATATGAACAGGCAATTCATAGAGGAGGAATATAAATGGCTAATAAACATAAGAAAAAATGTTCAGCCTCACTGGCAAAAATGAAGCACAAATTAAAATAACAAGGTAATGTATTTTCATTCAAGAGACAGAAAAATTAAGATGACTCCAATATTAATAAGATATAAGAAAATGGCTACTTCATAAACTATTGGCCAAACATAAATTTATCCTATCCCCTTCAAGGTCAATTTGGTATAATACTCATCAAAATGTTAAACTGGCATTTGCTTTCTTCCAGAAATTTCACTTCTAGGAATTTATCCTATAGAAAAGTATACATACCCAAGAATATAAATACAAATATGTACTGTATGTAATAATAAAAGGGAAATTGGGAGTTCAGTGGTAGAATTCTTGCCTTCTAGGTGGGAGACCCAGGCGTGATTCCCAGGCAATGCACCTTATGCGCCGCCACCATCCGTCTGTGGTGGTTACGCATTGCTATTATACTAAACAGGTTTCAGTGGAGCTTCTACTTTAAGACAGGCTAGGCATAAAGGCTTGGTAACCTACTTCTGAAGGTCAGCCAGTGAAAACACTATGAATCACAATAATCTGATCCACAACCTATTACGGGGATGGTGCAGGACTGGATAGCATTTAGTTCCATTGTACATGAGGTCACAATGAGTCAGTGGCTAATTCTGTGGCTGCTAACACAGCCATAAATGTAGTAATATTAATTGGAAATAAACTAAATGTTGATCAAAAGAGAAACTGTTAAGTAAATTATGGTATATTCTTAACAAGGAAAATGCACCAGTTAAGAACAAGGCAGATTTATATTACATTGACATGGAACAATTTTCAATATACATAGTTAACTGGCAAAAGTAAGACACAGAACAATATGTTTTATATATCACATATTATTTATGTTTAAAAACTAGTTTGATGTTAATGGGGGAGGAAAAGAAGAGTAAAAACAGTTGCATGATTTGAAGAATGTAATTGTTTTGGTTATCTAGTGCTGCTCCGACAGAAAATTAATGTCATCCACATAGGTGGATGGCTTAAACAAACAGGGATTTATTCTCTTACAGTTTTGGAGGCTAGAAATCAGAGTTCAAAGTGCTGGCTCTAGGGGCTGGGTGAAGGCCCTTTACCTTGGGCTTCAGCTCTGCCTCTTGCTCCTGGCCCACTGGAGCTGAAGGAATCTCCTAACTTAGGCAGCTGCTGGCTGCTGAGTCTGACAAACACAATGTTGACAAGTAAAATGGCACAGTTTAAAGACTATCAAGCAACACGGCGGGCCACTAATTCAAATCCAGTAACAGTCCCAAGATCAGCATACACTCATGATGATGCAGTCAAATGCAGGATCCAGACATGCCAAGAAGCTCAAGACCTTTATCAAAGCCATATATATATTATATGTTGTTATTGTTGTTGTTATGTGCCGTCGAGTCGTCCCCGACTCATAGCGACCCCTCCCTGGGTTTCCGAGGCAGTATCACTACGGAAGTAGGATTGCCCAACCTTCCTTCCGAGGAGTGGCTGGTGGGTTTGAACCGTCAGCCTTCTGGTTAGCAGTCAAGTGCTTTAGCCACTATGCTACCAGAGCCCCCATATATCATATATATATATATAGCTATATCCAGGAAACAGACCATATCCCTAAGGCAGCTACTCAGCTGCTCACAGTAGATTGAACCATGAAGTTGATTACCAGTCTCATCATGGGGAATAACGACAGCCAGCTGCCCAGACACTCAAAACCAGGTCCAGCCAAGTTGACTTAACTACCTTAACTACCACAGTAACGAACCTCACTGAAGTGTACTTGTAGAAATCACTGACTTGGTATGTGTTATGCTGTGTAAAGTCTCAATAACAACAAAAATAAAATAAATGATAAAAAACTAGTCTATCAAAAGATCAAATTATACCACTATATGGTTTATATATAATACATTATATTAAAGAAATATATAATCAAAGTAAACAATGAAGGATCTAGAAAGATATACACCAAACCATTAAGAGTAGTTTTACCTCAAGCAAGAAGAATGCAACCAGCAGAGTCAAAGGAAACTTTCTTGCCTTTCATTCTATGGATTTCTTTTGGCCTATATTTTATTGCATCTGTCTATATATTACTTGTATAACAGAACATTTTTATTAAAAAATCAGAGTGTGAGTAACATGAAACAAAACAATCTCTGAAACCAAAAACCATCCAAATTAAAAATTTTGAATTGCACACTTCTTTTAATTTTTCCACTCAACTATAAATAATTTTATGATTCAAATTTTAAACCATAGAAACTGTAACAAATATAATTTTCTAGCTAAAGGAATAAGAAATATCTGATTCATCTGACATGTAACATAATCATATACTTTTATATAAAAATGTATTATAAAATTTAATTAAAGTGCTTAATTCTGTTGTTGTTGTTGTTATGTGCCGTCGAGTTGGCCCCGACTCATAGCGACCCCTCCTTGGGTTTCCGAGGCAGTATCACTACGGAAGTAGGATTGCCCAACCTTCCTTCTGAGGAGTGGCTGGTGGGTTTGAACCGCCAGCCTTCTGGTTAGCAGTTAAGTGCTTTAGCCACTATGCTACCAGAGCTTAATTCTAGGATATTTAAAAAGGTTCTATCTTTACATTCATGAACTCAAAGTTTACTAACATCAAGTGTCAATATTTTAAACTGAGAAATTTTTATTCACAGAAAAAAAATAATAACCATAGAAACACCAACAGAAACTCTTCTGTTGAAGTTGGATACACTTTTTGCAGTGTCGTTGGGTAGGTTTGGTGGCATAGTGCCTACGGCATTTGACTGCTAACTAGAAGGCTGGAGGTTCAAACCTACCAGCCACTCCTCGGAAGGAAGACTGGGCAATCTATTTCCTTTGCAATACCACCTCACAAAACCAAGGAGGGGGCGCTATGAGTCAGAATCAATTCAACCACAGTGAATTTTGTTTGTTTATTTGGGGCAGGTTAAATTACAGATTAGACTCTATAGTCTTGGGAACCCATTCCTTATTTAATGTTATTCTAATTTCAATGATGTAGAGTTATTCACCAATTTTAATGCTTCGGCATCTTCTTCAAAACATAAAAACCTTCTATAAATCTAAAAATTCAAAACCATCGATACACAAATGTTAGGTATCAAAAACTACCAAACTTCACCTGATTTTTGATAGACAGATTTTCCTAATGATAAAAAAGTTAGATACATATATCTCGGAAGGAAAAAAAAAAGAAAAGAAAAACTTAACCTTTCTCAACCTATTATAGTTACTGAATTCACTGGTTGTTAATTGTTCAAATAGCAAATATGTGCCTCAAAGGAACGCTTCAAACTATAATTACTAATTATTAATATGATAAATAAATTTAACTGTATTCAAGTACATTATACTAAATCTAGGGAAATTCTAGAAAAACATTCAAAGCCTACTTATTTTCTGTACTTTTCTTCCAGACTAAATAAATAATAGAAATGATAACACATTCCAACCTTTCTCTTTTGGATTCATTGTCAATTTTATACTGTTGAAAATCTTGGCTAAGAGACTGTAGCTTTTCTTGAAGTTTTTTTTCACGTTCTATACTTCCTTGATAAAATTTCATCTCTTTTTCCATTTCTTTCACTTTTTCTTCCATGGCCTTAAATTCATGAAGAATTAGATAGCTGACTCCACAGTATTTACAAACTTTTTCTTCAGAAGGCATCTAGAAAACACAATATAGTTATTGAAATGATTTTTTTAAAAAATTCTGAACAATTAACTTCAACTGAAGATGTTATTGAAATCATGCTGGTTAAATAAAATAAATATATACTGCACTATGCCACAGATAATTATTACATGGCCTACATCTGGATAACATTTTTAAAACTGACACAATAGTGACTCTGATGTAAAATCCTGGAATTAGTAAAGGACCTTTCAGAGTAATTATTTTTCCATAGTGTCTTTATGAAAGATCTACTCTTGAAATATCTCCATGAAATAAAACTAAAAAATGATAAAAACATCTTTACATCTTTATGAGTAGCTTCTTGTTTTAAGATGAGTTTTCCATAAAGGAGGAAGAAATCATCGACCTTTAGCTGTCAACTGCTCAGTGATTCTGGCTTTTTCAGATCTTATTTTCCTAATTTGTAAAATTATGGCATTGAACCAAATAAACTCTAAGTGCCTGTCCAGTTTTGACATTTTATGCTTCTTACAGAATTTAACATTCTGTCACAAAACTTCGAATAGGAAAAACACTTTGAATCTAATCTCTTCCAAATCAGTACTTTTCCCCTCAGATAGACATGGTCTTTAGAGGACCTGGTGGTGCAGTGGATAAGCAGAGCTTGTCTGCTAAGCAAAAGGGCAGCAATTCAAACCCACCAGGTGTTCCACAGTAGAGAGATGAGGCATCTGCTTCCGTAAAGATTTACAGCTTTGGAAACCCTATGGGGCTGTTCCACTCTGTCCAATAGGGCTGCTATGAGTGGGAATACACTCAACAGCAATGGCTTTGGTTTTTGAGTTTGGGGTTAGTCATGGTTACACCCATTTTACAGATGAGAAAATTCAGACTACTGTAGTTTTAACTAGCTGATATGTGAAGAATTTCAAATTAAAATGTAGGTCTCTTTCAAACCAGTGCCTAAGCCTGTAACCACTTGTATTCATCCACCACGTGTATTTGAGTGAAATCCTTTTCCTTCCCTCAGATAAAATGTTCATATGACTCTGGTGAGCATGTTGTTATTGTTAGGTGCCATCAACTTGGCTTCAACTCATGGAAACTCTATGTACAACAGAACAAAACACTGCCTGGTCCTGCGCCATCCCACAATCCTTGTTACGCTTGAGCCTATCTATCATTGTAGCCATTGTGTTAATACATCTTATTGAGGGTCTTCCCATTTTTCACTGACACTCTACTTTACCCAGCCTGATATCCTTTCTCTAGGGACTGGTCCCTTCTGACAGCATGACCAAAGTAAGAGAGACAAAATCTGGCCATTCTTGCTTCTAGGGAGCATTCTAGCTGTGCTTCTTCCAGGACATATTTGTTCATTCTTCTGGCAGTTCACAATATGGCTAGTATTCACTGATACCACAATACCACAATACCAAGTCATCAACACTTCTTCAGACAGGCGTATTCACTGTCCAGATATCACATGCATAGGAGGTGACTGAAAATACCATAGCTTGAGTTGGGTGCTATAAGCCTTCTTCACTTTCAGCAAGCAAGGCTTTGCCATCTGCATATCCCAGGTTGTTAATAAGTCTTCCTCCAATCCTGATGCTGCATTCTTCTTCATATGCTCCAGCTTCTCAGATTTGTTCAGCATATAGACTGAATAACTATGGTGAAAGGATACAACCCTGACATACATGTTTCCTGATTTTAAACCATACAGTGTCCCCTTGTTCTATCTGAATGGCAGCCTCTTGGTCTATGCACAGGTTCCTCATGAGTACAATTAGGTGTTCTGGAATTCCCATTCTATGCAATGTTACCCAAAACTTGTTACAATTCACACAGTCTAATGCCTTTGCACACTCAATAAAACCCAAGTAAACATCTTTCTGGTATTCTTTGCTTTCAGCCAAGATCCATCTGACATCAGCAATTATATCCCTCATTCCACGTCCTCTTCTGAGTCCAGCTTGAATTCCTGGAAGTTCCTTGTCAACATACTGCTCCCAAAGTTTTTTTAATTATCTCTAGCAAATTTTTACTTATGTGTCTATTTAATGACCATTTGCTTCCTTCATGTATGATGTTTTGACATGAGCCCACACACACAACTTATCTGGTCTTCAATTACTGGTGTTTAGTGCACCACATCTATTCTTCAGAAGATCTCTATTTTCAGGTAGGATATAATCAATGCAGGAAGCGGGAGCCAGGTCAACGGCTAGAACAGGCAAGGAGAGAGCCCCAAGTATGAAGCAGGACCTGGACCAATGGCCAGAACAGGTAAGGGGAGAACTCCAGACAAGAAGCGGGAGCCAGGCTGATGAGAGGAATAGGTGAGGGGAGAGTGAGACCCAGGCAATACGTGGGAGCTGGGTGAACGGCCAGAACAGGTAAGGAGCCCTAGGAAGGAAGCGGGAGCCGGTGGACAGCCAGGACAGGTAAGGAGAAGGTCAGAAAGTGAGTGGAGTGGTTTGGAACACCTTAGGGAGATTAACTTGTCTGTCAGTTTGTTGTACTGTGGTGGCTTGCATGTTGCTGTGAGGCTAGAGGCTGTGCCACCACTGTTTCAAACAGCAGGGTTTCCTGTGGTAGACAGGTTTCAGTGGAGCTTCCAAACTAACACAGACTCAGAAGAAGGAAGAAGCTATCCACTTCTCAAAGAATTGGCCAGTGAAAACCATATTAATAGCAGTGAAACACTATCTGATATATAACTGGAAAACTTCATGAATAGCCCTGAAACACTGTCTGATACAGTGCCAGAAGAGGAGCTCCTCAGGTCAGAAGGCACGCAAAATACTACTGGGAAAGAGCTGCCCCCTCAGAGTAGAGATAACCTTAATGATATGGATAAAGTAGAGCTTCGGGACCTCCAGTTGCTGATGTGGCACGACTCAAAATGAGAAGAAACAGCTGCAAACATCCATTAATAATTGGAACATGGAATGTATGAAGTATGAATCTAGGTTGTCACCAATGAAATGGAATGCATAAAGATTTACATTGTAGGAATTAGTGACCTGAAATGGACTGATTTTGGCCATTTGAATCAAACAACCATATGATCTACTACGTCAGGAATGACAAATTGAAGAGGAATGGTGTAGCATTCATCATCACAAAGAATGTTTCAAGATCTATACCTGAAGTAAATGCTGTCAGTGATAGGATAATATCCATATGCCTACAAGGAAGGCCAGTTAATACTATTATTATTCAAATTTACGCACCAACCACCAAAGCCAAACATGAGGAAATTAAAGATTTTTACCAACTTCTGCAGTCTGAAATGGACTGAACATGCAATCAAATGTGTTATCACTAGTGATTAGAATGCAAAAGTTGGAAACAAAGAAGAATCACCAGTAGTTGGAAATTTGGCCTTGGTGACTGTGTTAGACTGGGTTATCTAGAGAACCAAAACCAGTAAAGCTTATTGATATAAACAGAGAAAGAAAAATTTATCTTAGGAAAATGGCTCACACACTTATAGAAGCTGGCAAGTCCCAAGTTCTTGGATCAAACGTCAAGCTGGAGGCTTTTCCCAACTCCTGCAGCTGCAGGGGCTGAGAAGCTCAAGGTTCGCAGGCAGTATACTGGCTGTTGACTCCAAAGAATGACGAATCCAAGATCTCCAGGCTGAACAGTGGATTGTTCGCTCACAGACAGTTATAGGCAGCACAACAGAATCCCGATCCACAAAAGAGTGTCTCTTTTCCCAGAATGTCCATAAATATACTGGAAGCAGGCCACACCCCTAGGGAAATTCCCTTTCAATGGATTAGCTCCTCAAAACATATACATCTGATCCCATCCTTGGAACAACCCACATCACAATTGCTTAAACCACACAGAATTGTGGTCCAACCAAGTTGACACACAGCTCCAACTATCACAGTGATAGAAATGACACTGGAGATCACATGATAGAATTCTGCAAGACCAACAACTTATTCATTGCAAATTCCTTTTTTCAACAGCACAAACAGAGGTTATACACATGGACTTCACCAGATGGAGTACATAGGAATCAGAATGACTACAGCTATGGCAAGAGGCAATGAGAAAGCTCAATATCTTCAGCCAAAACAAGGCCAGGAGCTAATTGTGGAACAGACCGTCAACTGCTCATATTCAAGTTCAAGTTCAAGTTGAGATCATCATGATAAATGGAGAAAAGACTGAAGTTGTCAAAAACTTCATATTACTTGGTTCTACAATCAACACCAATGGAAGCAGCAGTCAAGATGTCAGACAGTGTATAGCATTGGGAAAATCTGCTGTAAAAGACTTCTTTAAAGTGCTGAAGAGCAAAAATATCTCCCTGAAGACTAAGGTGAGCCTGACACAAAACTATGATATTTTCAATCACCTCATATGCATGTGAGAGCTGGACAATGAATAAGGAAGACTGAAGAAGTGTCAATGCTTTTGAGTTGTGGTGTAGGTGAAGAACACTCAAAGTACTATGGACTGCTAAAAGAACTAACAAATCTGTCCTGGAAGAAGTTCAGCCAGAATGCTTCTTGGAAGCAAGAATGGCCAGACTTCATCTCACCTACTTGGTCATGTTGTAAAAAGGGACCATTCCCTGGAGAAGGGTATCATGCTCAGTGAAGTGGGGGTCAACGAAAAAGGGGAAGAGCCTCAACAAGATGGATTGACACAGTGGGGCTCAGGTGCAGCAAAGATCATGGGGCTGGCAAAGGACCAGGCAGTGTTTTATTCTGCTGTACATAAGGTCACTACAAGTCAGAGATGACTCAATGGCACCTAACAACAACAACAATATAGTGAATGTTGTATCGTGGCTCTTGTGGACTTGTTTTAATTTTTGTCAACTTGAACTTGCACATGAACAACTAATGGTCTGTTCCACAGTCAGCTCCTGCCTTGTTTTGACTGATAATATTGAGCTTCTCCATTCGCCTCTTTCCACAGATACATTCCATTTGATATCTGTGTATTCCATCTGGCAAGATCCACATGCATAGCCACTGTTTATGTTGTTTAAAAAA